CAAAACAGGGGGTCATGTGTCCCCAGGGTTTTCCAGTAAGCCCGCTAAAATGCCATCAGCCTCCACTGTTTCCTCAAATGGAGGTCACCTCAAGCCTTCCAGCCGGTGTCTTTTCTGCCCGGGGTCACCGCTCTGCCACCAAGGAACAGTTCTCGTCTGTGGGCTCACCTTCTCAGGCAGTCCCAGTAGTTGTAACTTCTCATGTCCTTTCAGCACCTTCTCTACTGTGCAGAGCTTCCGTACCCCTACTTTCATGTGTGTACATGCATGTTTGTGTGTGCTAGTGTTTGTGCATACATGTGTGCGGTGTTCTTTCAACAGATTTGAAGTCTGGAGAGAGAAGTTTACCCTGCAGCCTCCACTATTTGAAATGCTCTGTGTGTCCATATTTATCACGTGGCTTGGTTTGCTGTTTCCCATATATCAACCCCAGAGTTAACTTCCTCTAAACTCTACTTACTAGTTCCAATTCTATCATCTATATGTATATTTTATACCGTTTATCCAATTGGAAGATAACTATCATGTACTCCCTGTCGTTTCTTGTCTTCAGGCCAGCTGTTCAATTCCTTTCAGAATTCCTGATTAGTCATGGAGAGCTTTCACTGTGTTAGTGGATGTCTGTCTCTTAACTGGTTTTTCAGAGTTTGCTGAAGGTACCTTTTAAAGTGAGTCTTCAGAACTGAGCAGGTATAGGACATTTGAGCATCTCAGAGTGAAAAGGACGTCTACAGCCATACCACTCGGCACACGTCCGATCTCGTCAGAGCGATAAGGACTGTCACCTCCAGTGCCTTATACACTGCCGGTAAAAGCACAATCCAGCATCCTCATGCCCTGTCAGGTCATCCCTTTTCCCACTTTGCTCTACCCAGCCTATTCACGCCTTCCACTACTTTGTATGCGCACACTTCCTTAATGGGAAGCTAACGTGAGCACTGTACAAGCCATCCTACTACCTTTCATGCTGTGCTCAGGCAAAAAAAATTAAGACAAAATCAGGGACAAGCAATTTGGATTGCTAAGCAGCCCATCACCCTCTGGACCAAATATGTAGGAACTCCATTCTAGGAAGGGTACTCCAATACTTTCACTGCCTCCCTAGAACTGCTGAATAGAGCCATCAACTTGGAAAATCTATTGTCTTTGAGTCTCTGACTCCTTTAAACATTCTTCTTGGTTGAGTGAATGTCATTTGTCTGTGGGACACCCACTCTTCCCTTTCGAGAAGTTAATACCTATATTCAACTTTTGAACAAACTCAATTATGTTTTGGGCTATATAATCAGGCCTCTTTTTTAGAAAAAAAAAAAAAAAGCATCCTGCTGAACCCTATATTAAGATACCTCTCTATATATATCTCTATTGATAGATATAGGGACCTCTAGAGATCGATATACACATATATATAGATATATAGAGATCTAGATATCTAGAGATAGATATATAGACTTATATGAGATCTGTGTGGGTTTTGTGGGTTTTCATATGTCCTGGTGAGTTCCCTCAGCCCACTCAACTCCAACTGAAAGCTGTGAAGCAAACAGCCAGGTCAGATGGCAAGAACACTAATTAGAGCATTTTCCACCTTTGACAATGAAACTCACAGAACCAACCTAAGTTCACAACAGTACAAATAACTGCTACCTTCAACAAAACCCTAAAGTCAAACATTCTCTTACGTCTTAATCAAAAAAGGATGATGGTAAAAAAAAGTCTCAGACATAAGAAGTTCATCTCCCAAGAAAAACAGTAATTTGTCCCACAGGGATATTTTCCCTGCTCAGATTTTTATGATGTTGGTCCAAACTGAAGTGTTGTCTTGTAAGGTATCAAAGGTCTTGAAGGGACAAATTCAAGGTGGGTACTCGAAGACAAAATGAGATAATTTTCTGATTAACTCAGTTAACTAGCCTACATAAGTAGGATGCCTCTATTTTTCGGAGGGTTTTTCTAAAAGTTATTAGCTGCATTAATCTCCACAATTTTCCCTTTCATTTTAGCTGAGAAATGTGTTATTTTGAAAAGAACCTTATGGATGTAATATCAAAGATTTTCCATGCACTGCTTTGGGTGGGGGAGAAATCTTTTACTACTGTATTTAATTTTCCCCACTGTAAGGGTTGAGCTTAAATAGCCTATGAAACCATTTACTGCATGTGAGAAGGGCACTGGGTGAATGATTGTTTCCACATTGCAATAAGGAGTTGCTCATAAATCTAAGAAGCTAAGAAAAACTGAATTGACGTTAAACAAATGACTCATGTAAAGAGTCAAAAGGGCATTTCAACTGCACAGTCACAACTGTGCTGATCTGATTCTGTGCTTTTGGATGGTGAAGTCAGCTTTGTAAAACAACGATGAGGGCCGTCAATTTGATCAGTTATTAAAATTTTTAGTATAAACTTTAATTTTGGCTGTCTGAGCTGAAACTTCAAACAAATTGACTTGGACAGTTCATTTTCCTTCTTCTGTACAATGGAAAATAATTTAAAAGCTCGGGCATAAATTTTGTTCTTCATATTAAAAAAAGAAGGCAAAAAGAAATCTAGTATGCCTTTAGAAAAAAAGGATTGTACAGATGTAAACCTCATTAACTGTCCCTTGGTATCATGGTTATTTATGTAAAATTCTTTATTGACAGCATGATTCCACTATTTCATTATTAGTTGCTGCCAATAGGAATATTATAAATAAAAAATAAGAAACTCATTTCAGAGCTATAACTAATAATATGAGATACAGACGTTTATTAAAAACACTTGCATCTTAAACTTTTTAAATGCCAACTTTAGAAAGAGAGACAGTCCAAGTGCAGCATTTTCTACCCGTGCGCTGAACTTTGCTGCACTTTCTGCTTGTATGTTTATTTTAAAAAGATAAACACAGGACTTCAAACCTCCAGGGAAAAGCACCATAATTTACGACAGTTGTGCAAAAGGCACAAAGTGGGATTGCGAAATAGGTGGAAGAAAATGAGACTTGGTTAAAATGCTAAGAACATGAAGTTATCTAGGAAATATCTTTAGCATTACTTTAATGTATTCTAGCAATTAAACTGACCCAACCTCTTTGAAGACTTAAAACACCACTATGAAACAATACACACACACACATACACATGGAAGTTCACCTGTTACCTCAAATTTTTTGCTCATTTCCATTTACCTGAACTGTACAAGAGACTTACAAGACCACATATTACATCAAGGTGAAATAAACAAAACTGTGTGTCAGATCTCTTTCAATCTCCTCTCTTGAAACCTAATAGGAAAGATTTAATTCTGCAGAGATGCCACTATGCTATGATGTCAGATATTTGGGCTTTAAGTCTCCACTCCCGAAGTCTCTACACTATACTCTAATATACGGTGATAAATGTCTCCTTAATTTGCACAGCAGTTTTCCAGCACCCTCACAGCAGACCACCTTGAAGGAGCGAGGAAAAGGTTTAGTCATGGTTCCTATTTTTCTATTGAATTCAATACATTCTAGTTACACGGACAATAGGTCACTTCAAAAATAGTAGTGTATCAGTCCTGGTTAATAAACAATCCCTACAGTTGATAATGGGCCCTATGTACTCAGCAAGTCCCTGTATACACTCGGCTCACCCACTAAATCCCTTTTCAGGTGGACAGGGTTATGTGGGAAGATGAGCTAGAATGAGTCTATAAAAGTCAGTTTCATTCACTGCTTTATTTCTCCGTCAAGTGCTTTAAATGATGCCCAGAACTTCCCTTGGAATGTGAGACAGTAGAAAAGACGGACACACAGAGCCTCGCTTTATGACCATACAAAAGGGCAACTGACCCTTGCCCAGGACTTTTCCGTGTGAAATGGCTCCTAAAGTTCATCTGCGGAGTGAAAAATCGTGGTAAGGTCGCGTGCGGATGAGTCAAGAGAAAGTGACGATTGGTCACGGTTCTGTCACCCATTGTGGCCGGGCCCCAGCATGTAAAGTGCTCTGTGGGAAAGTACCAGCCCCCTCGAGAGAGGCTCAGAAACTTGCAGCTCATTAAACCGCCAGCATTTGCTGCCTCACTTGTCAGGAATCACACTGCAGAGCGACCGCTCTCCTGAAACATCCATAAAACAGACAGAGGCAGCGGGGACCCGAATTCAGCCGCGATGGAGCTCTGTCAGCCCCACTCAACACTTCACCCGTCACCTGACAGAGCTGTGAACCTCCCTCCAGGTATTTTTTCCTCTTGGGCAGCGGAAATAAACAAATGTAGCTCTCCACTGGACTTCTGTATCACAAACGCAAATTCTCTGCCTACAGATTCCTTTTCTACCTAGACAAGTCAAGATCAGTGTGAATTTTGCCTTCAGGTAAACATGCGTCTTTGTGTGGGGGTGCATGTGTGCACCTGAACCATGAGTTTTGGAAAGTCTGTCATCCTCATTGCACTCCCAGACACTACAAACATTTTGCTGCTATGATGTCTAAAGCTCCTTTGGAAACCTTTCCCACAGCTCTGGTTGGTTTTCTTTGAGATGATAAACAGGAGGTATTTGTCTCCTTCTATGATCTTGATCATGTATAATTATTTTCCACAACATCTAACGACTTTCTAGGTCCCTTTTTAAACTGGGTAGGAGTTTTACACAACATAACGTCTTCCTTTTTTTTAATTTATTTATTTATTTATTTATTTATTTATTTATTTTTGCTCTTCTTTAGAGAAGTGTTGCTACATGTTTCAGAAAGAGCCAAACAGGTCCCTGTAAGATCTTTTATGTCGAAAGCGAAACAAGTGGCTTCCCTCGGTGCGTCTGCCCTGGGCTTCAATGCCATGAGAAACCATTCACAATTGCTCACTGTGCTGAGGTTTGATAAATCTCTGGAAACCTCCTGAATAGGATCACTGTGATTTTTAGTGAGGAATTAGCTCCTTGCCATTGCACTCCCAATTAGCTTCCCTGAGCACATTAAATCCTGCTGCTTTGGCTCACAGAATAGCCGAGGCACTGCTGGCGAAGCATGAAAAACTTACTTGGAAAGACAGCCGGGGATGCAGGGCGCCGACAGGACCCACCGCAGCACGCGGGGTAGAACGGCGGGGCGCTCAGAAGGAAGGGCTCCGCAGGCGCTGTGGAGAAAGCATGGATCGTGTTGATCAGCCACTTCTTTCAGGCACAGTTCATAACTCTAGTCTCCTAAATGCTGTGGAGCAAAGGGACTGCACTTCCTGAGACTTTAGTCAGTTCTAACAGGTACTGAAATTCAAGTCATTTTAAGTATCCATAATTGGCCAAAGCACTTGTCAAATAACGGCATCGAGATTTGGAAGATATGGTAGAAAGACTCAAAGTATCACACACCACGCTTGCTGGTTTATTTTCTGTGTGGTCAGAATTAGAAATAGTAACTATCTAACATCCCTGCAGCAACACCACCCAAGGAGCATCTGCGATGGCGGAAGTGCTTGGCCTGCCTTGTGTAACGTGGTGCCTACCAGCCACACGCAGTGACCGGGCTCTCCAGTGTGTCTTGTGTGACAAGGTCACCCAATTCTTAATACAAATTAATCTCAATTTAAATAGATTCATGTGACTAGTGATTATGTTAAATTGCGAGGGATCATATTAAGTAGTTCTAAATATTTTACTTAGCAAAAAACAATTTAATGTTATATGCGTACATTGAATTTTTGAAGATATTATATCACTTTAGTGTTTATGTTCAGGTAAGTTGAAATATATAGTTACTTAGAATCCCAAGCAATTTACAATTAATATACTGAGTAGTTGTGTAACAAAGCGTGGTGTTTCTGATCTTATTTACAGGCTTTAAAGTATTTGAGAAATAACATTTTATCTCAAGAAAAATATAAAATTAATCCAAAAGCATTCTTGTTGGCAGTATAGTGAGCTGCCGCATAAATCTGTTCCTCTTATTTTATTAAATTGTGTTATTCAAAAATTTTCAAAAGATAAGTGTGGAATACTTATGGTTACTCTTGTAGCAAAAGTATGAAAAAGAAAGACTTTTTGGTGTCCAAAATCTCCTACACACTTTTTGAAGTTTCACTGTTACTATAAGTTCTTTGGCTATTCTGACATAATACCATCATACAAATGATAAGTCACTTCATTTGAATTTAACATTTTCGTTGAAATTTGGACCTCTATTCCTTAGTAAATGAAAAACAGCTATAAAGAATGTCATGCATTGTGAATAATAACTCTCTTCTTTATTGGGAGCTCACTATGTGCCAAGATTTGGTTAACTGCCTTAAAAACACCATGTGCTTTAATACAGTGGTTTTAATACGATATAAATGTGGGTTGATATTTCTTATCAGTATGCACATGATTTTATCATTATATACCTAGCAGAGTACCTAGCACATTACAAATAGTCCATTTTACAGCAATGAAGAAATAAGAAACAGCAAAATTCTCTGGTTTTCTTAGGGGGAAAAAAACAAGGATAAAAAATTAATGCCATGGGGGCTGGGGATTTAGCTCAGCGGCAAAGCGCCTGCCTGGCAAGCGCAAGGTCGTGAGTTCGGTTCCCGGTACCGGAGAAAAACAAAACAAAACAAAACAAAAATATATTAATGCCTAGCAAGGCACGGTGGTGCACATCTCTAATCCCAAGACTTTAAGAGACTGAGGCAGAAGGATCACAAGTTCCAGCCTACCCCTGGCAACTCAGTGACTTGGCAAAGCCTCGTCTAAAACTTCAGAAATGCCTAAAAGGACTGGTGAAGTAGATCAGCATGAAGGCCTTGGGTTCAATCCCCAGGGAATAAAAATAAATAAACGAACAACAAACAGCCAACATACTCTAAAATACGGTATCTACTAAAACTGATGACTTTGAAATCTAAAACATGAGTTCAAAATAAAGATTTTCATTATTCTCCCTTCACATTCAAATAGGAATTCTTTTCTTAATAACATTAGGAGATGCTGTTTTGATATGATTATACACCTTTACAAAGAACACAGTAATTTCAGACTGCAATTTTAAGCAACTGAGAAGTATGGACTTGTTTTCATCAATTTCTTTAAAGGATGGATCAAAATGAGGTACATGGCCAAGTAAAAAATTTACAGTATTTCAAAGTTCTGAAGGCCTTAAAATTGCAAACTTATCATAGATGCAGTTTTCTTCCTATAATACAATGAAAAGTTAACATTATTCCTGTTTTTACTTCTTTAATATTTAGATTTCCAAAGAATAAAGTGTTTGTTTTAATATTGTTTTGAAAATAAGGCAACAAAACAAAGGTATGAAAAGAATATTTGGGGAATTCAAAAGTTCAATAAATTTCTTAAGTTTCATTACCATAAACTGTTCTAATATTGACTATAGGACCACCATAAAGTGATAAATGATTTCATTTGGATTTTACATTTTAAACTAGAAGAGAATGGTAATATTCAGACAGATTTACACTTCCATTAGTATAGATCTATGAGATACTTCTAAAAATGGAATTATATTACTAAGCATAAAAGTTGCTCACTATAGTAACTTTTATCTTATTTCCCTTCCAAAATAAACATTTTATAAATAGTTAAGTCATAGTTATTGTATGTTAGGCTCACTCTTTCCTTTTTTAATTTTTTTGAGGCAGAAGAAAAAAGAAAATGATCTAGCAATGTTGCATTTACATATATAAAATTAAATATTTACCATGTTAGCTGGAAAAAAACAAAAATTTATTTTGCAAGTTGTTGCTCAATGTAAAATATATAAAATAAGATTATACACTATGATACCATTAAAATAATAATGCAAAGTATACATAAATTATAACTTTTCCTATTCTAGCCAAAACGTTTCTCAATTTAGCTCTATAGCTCTAGAAATGGAAAAATAAAAGATAAAAAAAATCTTTTCCTTGAGACATGATTACTTAAATTCATTTGTGAGAAAAAAAAATGGAAAACACACACATACACACATATGTAGATACACACACACACAAGATAGCTAAGATAATTATACTACTAATTTCTATTGGTTTATTGAAAGGGGCAGTTAATGTTTAATTGTTTGACCAATCTTCTTTTTTGTACCAAGAATTGAATTTGCAACCTCACACTTGCCAGGCAGGTGCTATGCTGCTGAGCTAAATCCCTGGCCTGTCTGATCATTCCTACGTGCCTATAACTGGTTATCTGAGGAACCACTTTGAAGATAACAATAAGTAATACAACAACCTTTGTTAATTTCCTATCACTTTGTTTTGCAATTCTGTATCATTTTTATTGTTTTCATGTTGTTTTGCTAATGTCTTTGTTTTTGTTATTGTTTTTGTTCTTTTAAAACAAAAATAATAAGTAAAAACAAAAAATAAATTCATTTGTGGTGAATGTGGCTTGAAGCTATCTGATTTCAGTGTTACATCGAAGCAGAAAAACAGCTTTAATTGGACAGTCTGTTATACTGCTATACAGTACCCTATGACAGCTGTAATCAAAAGGATAATATCACCATCTGATTATGAAAGTACAATCAAAACCTACAGTCACAACTCTAGTTTTGGCTAAAGAACGGGCTTTCACACATTTGGACATGACCAGGCTTGGAGTTGTATTCTGCAGGGCTTCTTCACCTCTTTAAATCATCTCCTGACACACATATTTACACAGATTAGTCAATTCCTGATTGCTATACATTAAGACACCTTGTTTAGGCTGATTTATGTGGAAATCGCTGTGAAATTCCAATTAAGTGCTCCTTTTCTTTCCCATGCTCCTATTCTGACATGTCAACTGCTAATCCATCTGAACATGTGATTGCAGGAATGCTAAATGGTCACAGGAAACAATCACTTAAAATAATCTGATGTATTTAAAATAGGTGTTAGACTTTTAACATTTGTTAAGTTTGTATGTTTTAAAGTAACGAGCAGTAAAGGAAATTCAAGCTGGATGAAAACAAGGTGACAAGTTGACAGATCAGTGAAAACTTTGTTAACTCTTACAAACTACTTTGAAGAGGTCCAAAAAAAAAATTTAATCCTAGATGATATGCATTCTAAACTCCATCAGTGCAGTGTACATGTGGTTACTCAGCGATTTACCATGTGAGGAATGGTCCGTGGTAGGCTAAATGAACAACAGTCTAATGGTCATATTTAAGGAGCGTTCATTGTACTTTAGGCCATGAATTTAATGTACGTTCCTCTCTTTCACGTACTCATTAGGATTCAAGCTCAAAAAGGGCATGCATCTGTAATGGGATTATGACTACTTTCAGCAAATGTTAAAACTGAGTACAGAAAACAATACAGGCTTTAGCATAGTCATTTGTTATTAGCCATGAGGGTTGGGGATTTCATGCACAAAGGCTCTGGCCCGTTATTCAAAGCTAGAGCCTGGAAAATGGGCACATCTCCCAAGATTTTCATGAGAGAACAATGAATGGAAAAAGAAATACACATGGGTGAGGATCTACAGCGTGATGTCAGGCTCTATGAGGTCAGCATTTCAAGATACTCCATAGCCCACCAACGAACAACTCCCAGTGTCTTTGGGAAAGTGTTGCAAGTTACAAACAAAATGACTTAAACTTTTGGGAACTAAACCAGACCCTCTCTGAATCCAAAGACCGAAGTAGTACTGATCTGCAGTGTTGCAAAGAAAGAACACTAAAGATCACTAACATAACCGTGAAATGAATTTTAGGGGCTCACTGCAACACTATGCAGATTGGGGAGCATGTCATAAGGCATGACAGAAGGTGCCAGGGCAGATGTTAAGGCAAAGGGTGAAAAATAAAGAACCTTTCTGGGAGAAAACAACAGGGAATTAAGTGATTTCAAAAGGATAGTTTTAATAACCTTTAAGTGCCAGGGACAGGGTCACTGGGAATAAAGCAATCTAAAATTTTCAACTGGAAAATAATACACAAGTGAATAGATTCTCTAGAGTAGGTGGACCCAAATACAAAGTTGGAAAGAAAGACAAACATCTGTTTTGAGTAGTTAGACCTGAGAAATATTAACTAGCTAATAAGGTTTGATTTACTTTCTCACACAATCTAGAAGTAATTCATTTATGTGATCCAACTGCAAGCCATGCCTTCAATCGGCAGCGAAAATAAATTAGGTAAATTTATCCGTTATCCTCTGTTGTCCTTCTATCAATCAGAAAATGCAGAAGTCAACATTTTCTCACTCAAGAGTATTTTACAGACATAAAACCATGGGCCTTAATGTTTTAGCACAAATCAGTCATGAGAAAATAAAAGTACAATGTCTACTTGCTTGATTCTGTTCTTTTAATTCAAGACAAATAATATGTATTGCCTATCAAGTGCCACATATTTCTCTCTGTGCTAGAACCACACAGATGAAAACAGACAGTTTTCCTCCCTAGAACTTTTTTATACTCCTTAACTTACAGACCTGAATCTGTTCTTAAAAATGTAAATTTCTCAGTGGTCCATATTGAATTTTGTTCTGTCAAACCTGATGCACTTCACAAGAAGATAAAATTTAAGAATTTCATTCTGTGCATTTCCCTAATCAGTAGTCCTTATCCCTGAGCACAAGTAAGAATTATCTGTACAACTTGTCAAAGATAAAGATTCCTAGGGGCTAGAGATTTAGCTCAGAGGCACAGCGCCTGCCTGGCAAGCGCAAGGTCGTGAGTTCGATTCCCGGTACCAGAAGAAAACAACAACAACAAAAAAGATAAAGATTCCTGACCCCCACCGACGGAGTTAAATCAGGCTGACTATAAGTGAGTCCCCTAACAGCAATTCTTCGAAACCTCCACAGGTGTGCATAACATCCGGGCATCACTGGAAAGAACATAAAATGCCTGCTACACAGCAGGTACTCAATAAATTTAGCCTTTCCTCTTGCCAGTATTATATAATTTGAGATCAATACTAAGACAGCATATAAAATGAATCAATATGGTACAGACCTCTAAAGGTCTGTACCATAAAAGCAGGTTAAAAGAAAATAACGTTAGAAAGACTTGGTCAAAGGAGGCTTTAATCAGAAGAAACATCATCATGTGGACCTCTATTTGGAAAATACTTGGGATGAAAAGGGGAAGCAAAGCGTTCCAGGAAGGAAAGATCATGCCCCAAGGAAAGGACGTGAGGACGGTGGGGAAGAGCAGAACAGGCAACTGGGATAGGGTGAAAGGGACAAACATCAAGCAGTGTGGCTGGAGAGTTCAATGCGGCTAAAGGAACGAAGGTCTGACGGGACGAAGCGAGCATTTTCGTTTGACCTGAGGTCAAAGGGATAATTTAGGTTCTCCTGAGTAGTGTGGTGATGTGACAAAGACACTGCTTATAGGAAAATTCACCTGGCAGTGGAGGCTGAGATGCAGTGTGATAAGAAAGGACTAAAGGTAGGGGACCTGCTGCAGCAACGCTGTGCTGGAGCGGAAGGCAGCCAGAAGCATTCATCCGGACACTTCCACCACCATCACCACCACCACACAGTCAATCCTCACAACACCAGCCAGTGAGTAGGACCCGGCTTCTGGTGTTCAGGGTTGTCACTTCTGCTGCTTCACCCTTGGAGTTTATACAGACAATACTGAAAGCATGAGCTAAACGTGAGTGCATGTTCTACTCTTCACTGTAAAAATGTCAGAGAACAGATTATACTATCCAAAGAATGGGACCTAACTTTCAAAACTCTACCTCTAAAAGCCTTTGAGAAGGTTCTCTGAGTTCCCAGGCGTATACCGCTCGATGTGATCGGCCCCCTGACACTGGTTATCCTGATTTCACCCTGCAGCATATTTTAAATCCCTACCAAAGTTACTTGGTTCACCATTCATGGGGTCTCTCACTTTCTCTTGAATTTGAGATGCTGCTTTTGACCTAGTCTTTCAAGTTCCAAGATGTTAAAAATGCCCACGGTTCCAAAATTGTGAGGACTGATTTGGAATGTTTGCCTTCGGAACTTTCCCCTTCAGCACCCGGCCACCGTGCTGGAAGGCACCGGGAGAGCTCAAGTGAATGAACGGCTACAGCCGGGCACCAAGTCAACAGCCAGCGTCAACTGCACGTGCCGTGAGGGGCCGCCCCCGCCTTGCAGCCCCCAGCGTCCAGACGACCACAGCCTCAGCTGACATCCAGCTGCAACTTCACAGCCACCAAGAGAGAATCACCTATGACAGAAAACAATGCCTGGTGATTTTTTAGGCTACCAAGTCTGCGGATGGTTTCTTACATAGCAGTATCCCATTTAGCAATATGCTGCTTATGGTAAAGCAGTGGAATGGAGACTTTCACGTCTTTTCCTGTTCCTTATCAACGGGTTTTTGAAGTACATTATGAAAGTCAACTGCTGACTCAAGTCATGGGTTCACATTTTTTTTTCCTGAAACAGGGCCTTATTATGTAGTCCAGGCTAGCTTGGAACTTACAGCGATCCTCCTGTCTCAGCCTGCTGCTGTTCACATTTTGAAATAAGGAAACAGAGGCTTAATGAGGTTATGCAAATTTGCTTAGGGTTATACAATCAGTGACAAAGAGAGCTTAGGCTTGAATGTAGACTTTAAAAATTATAGAAATGCTATTAAAACCATCTCAGAAAACTATGCAGTATCTGAAAATTTATCCAAATTGCCATTTGTGCTTCGGAGAAAGCACCAGCAAACTTTTATTACAAAGGACCAGAAAATAAACAGGCTTTAAGCAGAAGCCAGGCCTCCACTCCAGCTATGGATTCGCTAATGTGAAGCACCTATAAAAATACGTACACAAATAGGGGTGACCCCGTGCCTGCCTTGAAGAATCAGGCTGGCTTTTTGTTTTAGACCTAACATAACCGCAGCGCTGGCTCAATCCACTCAGCCTATTCCAGCCCCAAGTTAGGCCGCTAAAAATCTGCCAGTCCTCAAGGCATCGTTCTCTGCTTAATGGACACAAATTTTCTCAAAGAATAATTTGCTGACCCCACATATTTTAATTTACAAACAATTTAAGATTTAAAGCTTTGAAGAACAACAAACATGGAGACTTCTCAAGACAACTTGTAGAAATGGACCTATTATATATTCTCTCTCTGACGGTCATTTACAACTAATAAGATTAAGGTTGTATAACATTGTGCCTGAATATGTGAAAGAAAGACAAAATACCTAGTTCATCCCTGGAATATTTATAAACAACATGGCAAATATTTAATTCAAACTTTCTTCCCTTTTCCTGGTTCTGAAAGAAAAGTATGAAAAAGCTTACAGAGGCTTTTTGATCTTTGTCGTCAGAGAGAATTTTAGTGCCTCAAATTTACTGTTCATATAACTCACAAAAATGTGACCCTAAAATATTCACAATGAATAGTTTGCTGACAAAATGAATAATGCTATTAAAAATGAAATCAGTTATGGTAACTTTATATAAAGCGATGAATCACTCTGCATTGCGAAGTTAAGTATTCACCAGAGGCTAAAAAGAATGAAAGGGAGAGATTTCATTAAAAGTGGAAACATTACTGAAAGTGAAATAAAACATTTTGGAATAAAATATACAAGAGTCTGGTAAGCATGTTAGGGGTTACAGCAAAAATCCAATTTCTTACTAAGAGAGTATAAACCAGAAATATGATCTAATGAAGTCTTAAATGAGGATTCTAACAAGCATTCCTAGATAAAAATCATATGGTTCCATTTTACAATCTGCTTTTTCACTCCTGGCAGACTCCAGGTGTGTCTGAATGAAAAGTTAGTAATTTACACTGATTTTAAAACTTGTGTGATTTCATTGTAAATAAAAAAAAAAAAATCACTGGAAGTAAAAGCAAACTTTAAGGGTGGCAAATCCAATTCCCTCAAAGGAACTAAGATGTATTCTAAAGTTGTAGACAATGTCAAAAACAGAACTATGGTGGTAGGAGGTGTGTTGACTGAGTAGGTGAAATACTGACCCACCAACCCTAATGTAAAAACACATTGCTTTAAATATTTTAAAGGTGGTAACATTTCACTTCTCTGAAAATTTTCATACCCAAAGAACCTCAAAGCATTTTATGAACATAGCTATTAAACAGAAAAATTGCACAAGGTTCTTTACTTTCAATATCTACCATTGCTTAGCAACAAATTTAACCATAAAATATTCTGGTACAGGAAAAAAATTAAAAAAAAAAAAAACTTTTGCCAGGCATGGTGGTGCATGCCTATAATCTCAGCACTCAGGAGGCTGAGGCAAGAGGATCACTTCAAGATCAAGACCAGCCTGGGCTACATAGTGAACTCAAGGCCAGTCTGAACTTGTCTCAAAAGAAAAAAATTCTTTTTCTGGTGGACACAAGACAAGAAAGGGGTGGCACACTCAAAGAGAAATAGAGACCAACGAACAGCTTAGGTTTGAGCATCCAAGCCACGGTGGTGGAACGCAAATATAAAGGACTGCACGTGCGGCTCAGTGGTAGAGCACTTGTCTAGCAGATGGGAGAAGGTGCTCGGCTCCCTCCCCAGCACCACACACACACACACACACACACACACACACACACACACACCCCACATATACACACATATCCACGCACACAGAGGAAATCACCCTGGATAATCCCTTTCAACCGTCCTCAACACATGCCCTTATCATGCCATATAACCCTGAACCTGATCAGTCTTAATGTTCAAATTCTAATACGACCAAACATACACCTCTAGGGTGTTGAACTATTGCACCTCTTAAAATAAACCTCAAATCCCTAAAGGGAATAAGAAGTCCTAAAATATTCCTGTTTGTTGGATTACTCCTGCTTTATTACTGAACTCATTACCTGCAATACAAATTAGCAGACTGATACTCACTTGTTAGAGCAAAGTGGAGAAGCACGTGTATGGGGAGGGGGCCAGGGACTGGGGCTGGAGGCGAGCTGTACGCACGCGCACCGCCGCTCCACCAGACAGCGGCTCCAGCCCGGACACGGTTGTGTTAAGAAGCGTAGTTTACTCGGTCAGAACCGAAAGTGAAGGGCGTGCCCGTTACTTCTGTATTTCTATAGACTACGCGAACTTCTCCTTGAACCTGGAGGTGTCCATTAACTTATGGGTCGCATAATAATTTGTTCACAGAACGATTTATGTAAAAATGAGTGAGTTAATGTCGTGGTTCAGATCTTAAATGCGCCCAAGTCTCGTGTCTCCAGGGTGGGGCTGTAGGACCTAACTCAATCATGAGGGTGCTAGGATGCAGCTATAAGGGGGGCCCGGCCGCGGGAGGTGGTCAGTGGGGTGACCACTGGGGATGACCTGGGAGCGTGCATCTCACCCACGGCCCCTGCCTCTTTGCTCATCCCGCTCTGCTTCCCAGTTGCCATGAGGTGGGCGGATTTCTGCTGCCCTATTTCTGCCTTGGAGCCAGCTATGCCTCTGAAACCATGAACCAAAAAAAAAGGTCCCTCTCTAATTTTTTTTGTTTGTTTGTTTTGTTTTTTTGTTTTTCTTCCGGTACCAGGAATCAAACTCATGACCTCGCACTTACCAGGCAGGCGCTGTGCCACTGAGCTAAATCCCCAGCCCCTCCCTCTCTAACTTTTGCTTTTGTTAATATCATTTGTGGTTTTGGTCATGGGGGGTTTTGAGGGTTGGTGGGGTTTTTTTGTTTTGTTTTGGGAGGGTACAGGGGATTGAATCCAGGCCCTTTCCTCTGAGCTACAGTCCCAGCCCTTTTTTGTTTTGTTTTGTTTTTTTGTTTTGTTTTAATTTTGAGACAAAGTCTTGCTAAGCCACTCAGGCTAGGCTGCAGCTTGCAATCCTCCTGTCTCAGCCTTCCAGAGGGCTGGGCATTACAACTGTGTGCCACCATATCCATGCACCTTACGTTGTATGTCAGGCATTTTATCTCTTCCACAGAAAGGTGACTAACACAGTTGCCTACAAGGACATACTGTGTACAGATAACAGGATTCTAGGTGTACCTACAAATTCCACTAAAGGATGGTTGGGGTGATGGCTAGAACCAAGAATGGCCCAAACGGGTCACACCACTGTCCTGCTCTGAATCCCCAGCTCTCACTGTTCTGATTCTGGGGTTTTAATTTGCTGGAATAAATCTATAGCATTATTTAGCAACAAAATTGACAAACTCTAGCTTCAATCAAATCAAAAAGTCTTCCATTTGACTGGAGCCACCACTATGAACACAGATCCACTGCCTTCCTCCCTTGAGCCTAAAAGGTATGAGCAGCTATTTTATTTCATTTTCAATCTATCTCAGTAACGAGGAATCAACTACCATTTTGAACATAAAACATAAACGCATATGGTTTCAGACAGACCCAAGGATTAACAGGTAGAAAGTACATGGAACTGAAGGTAGATAAGAAGCCAGAAGATGCACTGAATAGCAATGGTAGGAAACAACTATCTTGGTGATAGAAAAACAACTATGGATTTTCCATTTCTGTACTACACAGTTCAATATACTT